TATATATATATATATATATATTCCCATTTCAGCAAAATTGCAACTTACTTTCTGTACAATGGCAGAATCTTCAAAATAACAGAGGTGGAGGTGGGTAAACAGGTTGGTGGTGTTGCCCCCTTTTGCTCCCACTGATGATTGGCAAGTCCTGCGGACTGGGGTGGTTATGTAACGTTGGTGGCCCAGTTACTGGGGTACTGGGGTTACTATACAAGTCATTTTCACAGAATCCAAATAACTGGCAAGCTAACTTTTTTGAAGTGTAGGTAGAGTGTCTCGTCTGTCATATCCAATTACATGCTTTTGCGAGACAGTATAGCTGCGCTTTGTGTCTTTTTCTGTTTTATGACAGGTGTAAAACAGCGTTAAGGTGCAATACTGCCATTTACATTGGGATGTCAACCATATAGTTAGTGGTAGTTATTCACTTTACCTGTATATTGCAACACCTTAACGATAACGTAATACAGCAATTTTTTTTTCTTTCTAAAAATTAGAATATGTTTACATAGAGGATAGAAAATTCTGTTTTCGATGACGTGCCCCTTTTAAATGCTTTGTGTATGTGTGTGTTTCAGGTGCTGGGTTGGATCCGTAACGGGGAGTCAATGCTCAATGCAGGTCTCATCACAGCCAGCTCTCTACAGGAGGCAGAACAACTGCAGCGGGAACATGAACAATTTCAGCATGCTATTGAGGTACCAACCAATCTTTTCCAAACAACACACGTGTTGGATGTACCATAGACATGCCATTCCAGTTTTGTTTGTATTGTTTTGTTTTATTTTTTCTTATGCTAGTAATTAGTTTGTTTTTATTGCTCCAAAAATACTTTAACTGTCACTCATTCAATATTAGTTGCTGTTGTCTCTTTTAGAAATTTATATGTAAATCTTACAATAAATAAATGTCCTCATGATGGCCACTGTTTTTCTTGTCAAATGAATTACTCTACTTACTTTTTAAAGTGAGGTTTTTGGCCAAAAACGCAAGGCATTAACCATTTTTTATATATGTCCTACTAATTTCCTGGTCATTTTCACTTTCTCTTCTTGTTTTTCACTTTCTCTTTCATTTTCTTTATCATTTCATCCCATGCAGAAAACCCATCAGAGTGCACTGCAGGTGCAGCAGAAGGCAGAGGCTCTGCTACAGGCCAATCACTACGATATGGACATGATCCGTGACTGCGCAGAGAAGGTGGCGTCTCACTGGCAGCAGCTCATGCTGAAGATGGAAGACCGCCTCAAACTGGTCAATGCCTCAGTGGCTTTCTACAAGACATCAGAGCAGGTCGGTGAGCTTGTCTTGATAGTGATTCTGTCATTTGAGACCTCTTGTTCGTTTAGCGCAACAATTGGCTACAAAAAGTCTTAAATCATATTTATTTTGCCTCAGCAACTTGGTGTTTTCTGAATGTGATCAAGTTTTTTCTGTCCTTTCTGATGATTTGCATGTACGAAGGAAGCTAAAATATAGGGGTTTTGTTTGTTTGTTTTGTGTTTATTTTTATTTTTTCCTAATTCTCTGCGTTTTGTGGCCAATTTTTTGTAAACAAATTAGTCAGTCATGACAATCTTTGTAATAATTATGGGATTATTATGACATAAAAAATTGCATTTATAAAATACAAAGTCATAACTATTATTAAAAATATATAAAAAATATAAAAATATATTTTATTTATGCATAAAAATCATAAGTACTTATGAGAAGTTGAAGTTGTGAAAAAGTTGTAATTATGACAACTGTATTAATTGATTTGGTGTCTCATAATTTCTATTTTTTTTTATTTTACAAAGAATGACTTTTTGTCATAACATACTTATGTCAGTTTTGACTTACCTCATAATTATGACTCAGTGTCTCATAATTTTAAATTTTTTATGTAATAAGTATGATCTAGTATGTCATAATTTAACTTTTTATCTCATACTTTTGCTGATATATTATAATTATCTCATAATTATAGTATCTCATAATTTTGACTTTTTTTCTTGTGGTGGGAATAGGCTTCCAAATAGCATTTAGATATTTTTGCTCATATTTATTATGTATAACTACATGTGATTGTTTTGCAGGTGTGTAGTGTGCTGGAAAGTTTAGAGCAGGAATACAAACGAGAGGAAGACTGGTGTGGAGGGACTGATAAACTGGGACCAAACTCAGAGTCTGATCACGTGACGCCCATGATCAGTAAACACCTGGAGCAGAAAGAGGCCTTCCTCAAGGTACCGAGCACATACACTCATGCACTCAGGTTCTCAAGTATCATTCCGATCATGACATTAAATATTTAGTGCACATTTACTCAGAACTAACTCTGTTTTTTTTCTCTCTGTTTGAAGGCATGCACATTAGCAAGACGCAACGCTGATGTCTTCCTCAAGTACTTGCACAGAAACAGTGTGAATATGCCGGGAATGCTCACACATGTCAAAGCCCCTGAACAACAAGTCAAGAGTAAGACTACATTCTCATTTTAAAAAGCAGTTTTATGACTGGTTTAAAGGACCAAATTTAGCCATCATTTGCTATTCGATTACCATTATTATATGTGGACCACAAAACCAGTCATAAGGGTCAATTTTTTCGAAAGTGAGATTTATACATCATCTTAAAGGGGTCATAGGATGCTACATGTACTTTTACAAGTTGTTTGAACTGAAATGTGTGTTGGCAGTGTGTGTACACAACCACCCTATAATGATAAAAATACAACCAGTGTTTTTTTTTTTAATCTGGTTAAATGTTTTCTCCTTTCTCAAATCGAGCCGAACTCAGATGCCTGTCTGTGTGACGTCACACAGACAGGCCCCTCCCACGTTAGTTTGATTGACAGTAGCGTTTCAGCACTGACTGGACTGGCGTCTTACCTTAGACCCGCCCTGAGTGAGCTGTCATCAGTCCGCCATTGTTTCGCGCTGGAGCAGATGTAGACAAGAATGACTCCTAAGCGATTGAGGTGTTCTGTTTAGAGCCCTGCACGGGCCTCAAATATAGGCCCTAGCCCGGCCCTGGCCCGAGACGCTCAGGCCCTAGCTCGGCCCTTGCCCGACAGCTCATCAGAATTCTTGGCCCGAGTCCGACCCGAGCCCGTCTTTTTTCCCCCTTCTCCCAAAACAGCTTATACTACTCTTTCAGCTATTAAAATAGTTCAGTTTTGTATGTAAGGTCAAAGTGATTATATTCCGTTTCATTGTTTTTATTAAGTTCATTTAGAAAAACGTTTGGAGCATTTTTTTGTTCGTTAAATGTAATTTTTTGTTTTTTAAAGTGACGACCAGACAGTAAGTTGATCATAACCTATGTTTGATCAATTTAGCCTTCTCAAATCATCACGAATTTATAATATGTGCGCTATTAGACGCATATTTAATCGTTTGTGTGGAGAGCTAAAGCGCGCTTTACAGGACATGGAGGCGCCGGCCAGATCACTTGCATTGGAAACAACTTAAAATATGCTGTCATTTTTGCTCATAAAGGTAAGAGTAATACATCACTCGGAACTGTAAAAGGTCTACTTTTATTTGTGTGCACTCACAATATCAACAAAACGTTGTGCTTTTATAAAATAAAGGATACAGGATGCGCTTTCTGCAATTTCGGCCAGGAGCGCTTCACAATGATCTATTAGACGCATATTTAATCGTTTGTGTGGAGAGCTAAAGCGCGCTTTACAGGACATGGAGGCGCCGGCCAGATCACTTGCATTGGAAACAACTTAAAATATGCTGTCATTTTTGCTCATAAAGGTAAGAGTAATACATCACTCGGAACTGTAAAAGGTCTACTTTTATTTGTGTGCACTCACAATATCAACAAAACGTTGTGCTTTTATAAAATATTTTAAATAATTTAAAAAAAAACAGGATGCGCTTTCTGCAATTTCGGCCAGGAGCGCTTCACAATGATGAACCGAAACTCAGCGAATACTTGCCTCACAGACTTGCTAAAAATATCTATAGAAAGCTTTCAATTATTACTTTAAAACTAAATAATTCAAATCAAAAACAAAAACTCTTTTTATGGATCTTATAAAATTTCTCTCTAAAGGCGCGTCCAATGAGGAGATGGCGAGTCAGGATCGTCATCTTCATCTTTGCTCCATGGACTCAGAAAACACTAATTTATTAATAAATAATTACTATTAATAATAATAAATAATACTTACTACCCAACTTACTTACTACAAAAATGGCTTGATCTGAAAAGAGCTGTTTTAGACAGGGTAAAAAAAGGTGTTTTTTTACACTACCATTGAGAAATTTTAACCAAACTATGTTACAGACTTTTCATTAAGACCCTAAAGAATCATATCAATTTGTGGAAAATGGGCATCCTATGACCCCTTTAAAGCTGAATAAATAGGCTTTCCAGTATTATATTTGGCCAAGATACAACTATCTGAAAATCTGGAATCTGAGATTGCAAAACACCTTTAAAGCTGTCCGGAGGAAGTCCTTAACAATTCATATTACTAATCAAAATTAAGTTTTGATATATTTATGGTAGGAAATTGACAAAATATCTTCATGGAACATGATCTTTACTTAATTCCCTAATGATTTTTGGCGAGAATTTTGACCCATACAAATGTATTTTTGGCTATTGCTACAAATATACCCCAGTGACTTAAGATTTGTTTTGTGATTCAGGGTCACATATTGTTATGACTCCAGGGTTCACGTATGTTCTGTGTTTCTGATTCTGTCACTGTGTCCTGCAGACATCCTTAATGAGTTGCTGCAGCGGGAGAACCGGGTTCTGCACTTCTGGACCATGAGGAAGAGAAGGCTTGACCAGTGTCAGCAGTATGTGGTGTTTGAACGCAGCGCCAAACAGGTCAATACTAGTTTAATCCCAGACAAAGAGCCTGTTTTTTGAGTCAGCATATAGTCTGGTCCTAATTGCGTCTTGTTTTGGTCAAGTAAACTTAGCCAGAGAGAGTCTGTGAGAAGGTGCACCTGAGATTGAAGCAAAGTGGTAACTTGATATGATGATTAAAATGTCACTGCACTCGCTTACTTTTACAGACAAAACCAAAATATAGTGTAAAATGCGATTTCTGAATTTCTGTGTAAGGATTGCTTTACAGAGAAGAGAAAGATTTCCTTACAGCCATTGCAAAACCAATGGCTTATTAATTTGGGCAACTCAACAAAAATAAGATTTGTTAGTAGTAAGGTACACATTTGTAAAAGCAAACAGCTTACATATTGTATATACATAAATGGAGAGCTAGTTTTAGCAGATGTAATTCAGCCACAAATCATTTATTCAATGCCGTTTCCAGAAAACTGAAATGATGATGAATGTCTGTTTTTAATGCAGTGCAGTGCCATATTTGCGTGCAATGTGCATCATACAGTCCACAGGAGTGTCATCTCAAAAGTTTCTCAAAATTTCAAGAAAGAGGGTAGGAATATATCATCTCCTCACTTTCATCAAACGTCAGTTTCGCCGACATAATTTTATTATTCACACCCTACCGTCTAATTGAGATCAAATTAGTTTATTTCATACACAATTGACTGGAAGCCGCCGCGGACCACAACAAGTATTTCTGGAGTCTCAAATAACAGAACCATGTCAGGTCAAGCATTCAGTGGTTTGCGTGACAGCTGTATAAACCCGAAAGAGGTTCAACTGTCATGAAAAAAACGTGTATGTATTTGTAGCACTTACTAGCACTTCATTTACATTTTGCCCTATTATGGTGAAAAAGCATCTGCCTAAAAACAATAACTGAAAATGTTCTCCTAATGCACATGTTCTGAAGTTGTGTAAATTGTGTCTGTTGCATAATTACAGTGTAGGCTTTCAGGAAGTCTGTGGTACTAGATGGAGTTTCTCTCTTCGTTCTGCATTTAAATGCTTAGTAATTGAGAGGACGGACTCTAGTTTGACCACACAGTGCTCTGCTGCAGTACTCACAGTCTTCCCCAGGCCATGTAATGAGGGTGGCCCGCAAAGTTCCTCTTTGACACACAGAAACATTTTGTCAGTAAACATTAGTGCCTGCACACAGTGCAACCTGTTCTGAAATAAGTTACTTTTAAATTGACCTGAAAATGTTGATGGGTTTCAAAATGAGATTGAGCACTTTTAGGGATCTCACTCCCTCTTGAGGATGCATGAGAGTATAACATAGACACATGCGTTCCCACACATTGTTTTTTTAAATATATAATCCTTGTCTGGATTTCGCTTTTACGTCTATTGTTAATAAAAGCTCATTATAATTTATATAAACTAAACCTAACCTTGAAGATGTTGTTTTGTCCCTTTACTGCTATTCTTTTGAGGCAATTTTTTAAAAGCTTTGCTCCCACAAGATTAGAAAAACAAGCATATATTCAAGTTTTATCCTCTAACCATCTTGTATTACTTGTCATTTTGACTTTTTTTCTGCAGGCTTTGGAGTGGATCCATGATACAGGAGAGTTTTACCTATCCACACACACCTCCACAGGCTCCACTATACACCACACACAGGAACTGCTGAAAGAACATGAGGAATTCCAGATTACAGCTAAGGTATGTCTCAATATAGGAACATTTTGCTTTCTTATTTTCCTAGATGCCTGTAAACTGAATCAGAACGCTTGTACATTAATATGAACATATTCTATTGTCTGTTTATTGTCATCATTTACTCTCTGCTGCCTTGTTCCAAACCCAGCTTTCTTCCGAGTCTTGAGAACAGATTTTACATACTTTGTAATATGCTAAAACAATAAAAAAATATAACCTTTTTTTAATATAATAAACTTTAAATTAAAATAATAAAATAAAAAAACGTATTTTATGTCAGCTAGTTGCTGAGGCAATATATCTTATTTTCATTTAGTTTAACTTTATGTACTATAAATGATTTGAAATATGATCATATTTTGTGGCCAAATTATTATTATTTTTTTCAAATTATGACATCCTTATGTCATGGGTACACAATGTGTAGTCATGGCCTCGAGATATTGTGTTGAGGGAACTATACCCCTTTCTCATGGCGACAAGTTTAATAAATAAACAAACCTGTGTGACCATAGAAATCTATGATCATCAGAAATGTAAAGTGATATTAATAAAAAAATATATATTAATAAATTAACATTTCATATTGACAAAGACATTAAGACATGGGTATATTATATTGTATTATATTATACATTAATGTAGGAAAATATTAATAGATTTTCATTTTGGGTAAACTATCCCTTTAATTTTACAACTTTGTTCATCCAAAGTTATTCTATGACTGTGATTGTCGGCATGTTGCAGGTTTATCATCTTGCCAGCAAATCACAGATTATGTTTACACTCTGATCTGTGCCTCTGTGGAATCAGTGTAGCTCTCTCTATAGCTCACTCTCCCTCCCTCTCTCTCTCTCTCTTTCTCCCTAGCAAACCAAAGAGCGGGTAAAGTTGTTGATCCAGCTGGCTGATGGTTTTTGTGAGAAGGGCCACGCCCATGCGAGCGAGATTCAGAAATGGGTCGCCTCGGTGGATAAACGCTACCGTGACTTTTCCCTCCGCATGGACAAGTACCGTTCCTGCCTGGAGAAAGCGCTCGGCCTGTCCACTGACTCCAACAAAGCGGTGAGAGGGCTGGGAGAGTGGGTGCGTTGATGTGGCCTGCATGGCTGGAGTGTGGATGAACTGTATTTTTGTTGTAAGGGTTAACCATGTTAATGTATGAAAGAAAGGTGATTTCTGACCTTTGGGACATTTCTTTTGGGGTTTCAGAGTAAAGGTCTGCAGTTGGACATCATTCCAGCCAGTGCTCCTGGTGCAGAGGTCAAGCTCAGAGACGTCAACCATGAACTCAATGAGGAGAAACGCAAATCGGCCCGCAGAAAAGAGTATGTTTTTTAAACATGATTATATGATATATCAAGCCAACAGCAGGAAGTGCTGAAAGGGCGGAGTTAATACTTCATCTGAAGAAAGTCCAGCTTTAGTTACTTTGTGTTTTGAGGAAACACCCAAAAATATGCATGCACTAAAGTAAACATGTTTTCATTTTTGAGGTTTTTATACTTGAATGAAACCCCTTCCAGAGGTATTGTGCTTTCAAACAAATGTTGACAATAGGTCTCTGGTGCATTGCCTGTTATCTCTCTCTCTCTTTTCAGGTTTATAATGGCGGAGCTCATTCAGACCGAGAAGGCATATGTGAGAGACCTGCGGGAGTGTATGGATGTAAGTGCTGTTGTCGCGGTTTGCTCCGGACGGACCAACATTTAGAGGGTGTGGTATACCAATGTCCACTTTGGACAGATCACAAAAGCCCTGTGCTATAAATGTATTCACTGCAGTACAGCATAAGAACAATCCAGTTTATCCAGGAAGAGCTATTGTTTGATCTCATGAAAAGATTGAGTGTCATTAAAACACTGACCATGTTTTCATGCACCATTTTTGAATCCAAAAAAGTGCTCCACAGCTATTGGAATATTCATGCATTTTGGAATACACATGTAATCATATTCCGAAAATAATACATGTGCATTATTTTTCTTTCAATCTCTTCTGGGAAAAAAAAAAGCTGTCTGTGATTCATTTATTATGATGCATTTGTGTAATTGAATCAGCTCATTTATTTTCATTCGCATCCTGGACAATAGCATATGCAAACCGTAGGTCATCTCAAAGGGTGTTTTAACCCATCTGTATATTGATTTATGTTTATTTCAATTAAGGTTTGTAACCGAAATCAACAGGCATCAATAGTTCGATATGCTTGTTCTATTTTAGCACCCAGAATTACTTTTGTTATGATGTTTGAGGTTAAACATTAATATCTGGTTTCAGTGTATATTCTGGATAATATGGTTTATAACCCAAAATTCTGATTAATACAGGTTAATACCACAGGACTTTGTCAAACAGTCATTTGAAAAGAAAATAGAAAGTTATAATTAAAATTGTAAAAACTTGTTAAAAATTTACCATTTTTAATATAATGTTCTTGTTTTCATAATCATTTTGATCAAATTACAGTTCATTTGATGACAATTATAAGAGAATGTTCTTTGCTTCAGACATACTTTCCATTTAAATAATTGAAGATGCATTTGAAGAAAAATTGTATTAGCCAATAATATCAGAGCCAACTATCCACAATCTGAACACATCCAGATAGATAAAGTCTAACGATGTAAACACTGAAATACAGAATTTGTCTTTGAAAGTGTAATAGTATTAGTCTAAGTGTGAGTGTGTGTGTTTCAGACATATCTGTGGGAGATGACCAGTGGTGTGGAGGAGATTCCCCCAGGGATTGTCAATAAAGAGCACATCATTTTTGGCAACATGCAAGACCTATACGAGTTCCATCACAAGTCAGTGAACCTTATAAACTGCAATTCTTATAATTATGTATTTCTAACTTCCTTTACTTACCATTTCCCTATGCACTTCTCTGTCCTATTCTCAGTATTTTCCTTAAAGAACTGGAAAAATATGAGCAGCTTCCAGAGGATGTGGGTCACTGTTTCGTCACATGGGTGAGTGTCAGTGTGCTAGAGATAATCTTATCAAAATGTGCACCAGACTCATGTAACAATATATTGACATTAAATCAGATCATTAGGACACATATCTAGGTTGCACTGTATTTGACAGTACATGCACTTACAGTTTACATACAATGGAAGTACTGAGTAATATACAGTATATATCTATATATTAGGGATGGGAAGATTCACCGATTCGCTCGGTGCATCGGCAAAAAAAGTTAATAATGCGATGCATCGGTTTAAAAAGTGTGCATCGGATACAAGTTGGCATTTGTATCGTGATGCATCGTTTCTAACATATTTGCATAGGTAAAAACCGATTTATTTATATATAATTACTAGTGGATGGCTACACTTTTATTGTTTAGAAAGTGACCAATAATCTGTGACCAATATTTTATATGTAGATTGATTTCTCCTTGAGAAACTGTTTCTCAAGCGCATTCTCTCATCACCACTGCGCGTGAATATGACGTATCACAACACCACTACAGAGACCTGAGGAAAAGCTTGGGATTAAAGTCCAAAATCTGACTTAAAATAACCTAACAAATCAATCGGGGCTAAAGCAGTTCCATAAACGACAATGTAAGTTCACAAAATCGAACTAATTTGTGGACGCTTAATCTTAAGCAGCCCTTAATGTCGATCATGGATCAAATCGATCCACCATGGCAAACAGCGAATATATTTGTGCTGTTTAATGCATTTGAGACGTTGTGTTTTCCTCAGTGCATAACTGACATGTCACAAGTATATTTTTCCTCTGTAAATGTTAGAAAGTCATGCAAATATATCCATTTTGCTTGCTGTCAGGAGTGGGCTCTGCTGTGCACATGCACGCTAAATTACTACTTAATGTGTGTTTCTTGTAGCAGTTAAAATGTAGTTTTAATTTATTGATCTTAACTTTTAGTTTAGTGATTTTAATGCTTTAAAGAGCAATGTTAGATTGTAAAGTTCTAATGCTATCTGTTCTAACTATAAAAGTTACAGCTGTCATAAAACCAGAGAAAAAAGGCTGCATGGCTATGATAGTATGTGAGAGAGTCAGTGGTAATATCATTGCATTTCCATTGTTCAGTGTTAGAAGAGCTCCGCTTAGCCTGACAGTTTGCCTGCCCTGAACCAGGTTAGCTTTCCAGCATAAGTTGCCACAGTGACTGATTTTGATCTTTGTTAATTTCTGGTGAAAATGAAATCACAGATGAAGCACTCAGGAACAAATTATGAGCAGAAGAAGATTGTCAGCTCTAAAATGAAACCAGTCTTTTCCCTAGTACAGGTCAAATATAGCTGTCCACTCTGGTTGTCAACAACATGTACAGATTCATTGTCCAGATACGTACTATATGTGAAGAGTTTGGTTCCAAAATGCGCTAAACGGCATTTTTAAAAAAAGAGTTCCCGCCAAAATCAGTATTGTATCTGGTCGGTATTTAAAAGTCAATTTTTAATTTTATGCAAAATGCGATATCCCCCATGTTTTCTCCCTATCTTTCCAAACCGTGACAAACGCCAGTCTCCCTTCTCTGCAGAATGCGATACATCCGCTCAACCAATCACAGAGCACCATTCCATGCATTGTAAACAGTAACTGACAATCGCATGTGATTTATAGTGCAGCCCTAAAATTTTTTAATTTTTTACGGCATTGATGAAATAAAGAAAATAAGAATAATCTATCTAACTACAAGCAACAGCACAAATAAATACAATACAGTAAAAATACAAATAAAATAAATAGTGATTTCAGTCTTTTTTTAGGTAGGTCTAAAATTAGTTTTCAGTTACAGAAATTGAATAAAGTAATGAAATGTAAATCAGCATTGCATATTTGACTGTATAAAGACTGTATTAAGAAAGTGCTGTCACTTTAAGAGAATGCACTGAAACAGTGCGTTCAGCCGGCTATGTCTGCTATAGGATACTTACCAAGACGGGCATTTTGACATAATTTTTGTGTTAATTTGTCCATTTAAACACAATACTTCAGAGAAAGCTTAATATTTGCGCCTGTTCTGAGGCGCAGGTTTTCGTGCTTCGGGTGAGCGCATGCACAAATCTTCTCACTGCGCGCGAGCTCGCATCCTCTGGCTCTTAAATGTTTAAACTGGCAAATCTTAAACGATTTTAACTTAAACACAGGTATCAACGTGTGCTGTTCAGGTCTCACCTGTGCACGCACGCTATCAGCACCCGGGTGATGACGGAATAAATGACTGCTCATATACCAGCACATGAACAAGAGCGAATGGTTTGTCCACCTTTTTTTTTTTTTTAATCGCTGTTGTTGTAATGTATTGGGAAGCCAGAATGCGCATCCATCAACAGAAACATATATTAGCCAAACCCTGTTTGTCTTACGTGTTATTTATAGCAAACAATATTACAAATGCGTTGTCAGATTTAAGTTGAACCGTGGTCCTAGCGTGTGCCGAACCGTGTGTGGCGAACCATACGGTTCGATTTTTTTCTGCGAACCGTTCCACCCCTAACTTTTTAGACCCTTAAATGGGTTTAGTTTTAGGTTCAGGGTTAGCACCTTGTTATTGTAGTAAGTCAAAAGTTTGGGAATTAAATGTTATTCTTTGTACTTTCTATTCATCAAAGAATCCTAAAAAAAAATGTTTATCAGTTTCTACAAAAATATTGTATAACTGTAATGATAAAACTAAATATTACTTGAGCAACAAATCAGCATTTGAAATATATTTTTGAAGGATCATGTGACACTGAAGGCTGAAAATTCAGCTTTGCCACCATTAAATAGTTTTTACTGTATTTTTTATCAAATAAGGTTCCTGTTAATAGAAAGTAATGATTGAGCACATATTTAAAACAATTACAGCTGTATTACACTATTTATGAAGTATCTCTTAAAGTGTTTATTTAATAATAATAACAGCTTATCGATCTAAAAGAGACACCAGTTATTAGAGTTGAAAACAGCAACTTCATGTTCAAAATGTTTAAAATATTTTGCTTATTTTGTATGTATGTTTTATTTTTAGGCTGATAAGTTTCAGATGTATGTGAATTACTGTAAGAACAAGCCTGACTCCACTCAGCTGATTCTGGAACATGCGGGGACCTATTTTGATGTGAGTATTAAGCAAACTAATCATAAAATTAATTTGATTGTGTGTAAGGACATACAGTATTCCTGTTACACACTTTAATCAAGGAAGTTCCATTTATTTATTCAGATTATGTAACAGTTTTTGTGTGTATTTGACAGAGAATGTGGGTGTTTATATGAATATGTATGTGACATTGTGTATTTGTGGTAGTATTAGTATGTGTGTGTGTGTGTGTGTATGGCTCCTGTGGTCTGTAAATCAGTTCTGTTCTTGAGCTGGTAGGTGGAGGTCTTAGAGAGAGGGCACTTCCTGTGTGTCTGGGTGTGGGTGGGGGACCAGTGATGCCTCACTATTAAACTGTTGCCAGGCGATCAGAACAGACAAACTCTTCTTTCAGGGCTGAGCACTGATGAATGACTGTAGCCTTGAGATCCGCTTTTGCAAAATTGCTATCAAGAAGCTATTAAGAATTAAAAAGCTAAAGATAAATGGTTGCTGTTTTTTTTTACAGCATGTGTTTAAGGTGTTTGTGTGAAAGATATTTTTTGTTTTGAGTAAACGACTTAAGTGTGCTTTACTGTATGTGTACAGGAAATCCAACAGAGACACAGGCTGGCTAATTCCATCTCATCATACCTTATTAAACCAGTTCAGAGGATCACCAAGTATCAGCTTCTGCTGAAGGTATGTGTACTACAATGCATTAAATAAACTCAGCGCAGTTCAGATTCTTCATTATACAAAAACCATGCAATAATCAGATTTTAGCACAGACTTAAAAAGACCAGATACAAACTAAACATACACAACACAAACTCAGCACAGTAACTACAGTACAGACCTTACCTAAAGCCAGCACAGACTAAATACGGATCCTTCACAGTACAAGCACAAACTAAGCACAGACCTACTACAACACCTGCAAAAAAAAAATCTATGTGAACTAGCTCCTGCTCAGGACCAGCTCAGAACCAGCTTATAGCCAGCCCAGGACCAACTTAAACCAGCTCATGACCAGCTAAGCACCATCTTAAACCAGCTCAAACCAGCCGCCATGCTTCAAAACATACCTAACCAGCATATACCGGTTTGTTCAACAGGAAACACAGATCTACCACAAACCTAGCACAGATGAAACACAAACCTAGCACAGACTAAACATAAAACCACCACAAACCCAACACAAACTAAACACAGACCCAGCACAGACTAAACCAAGAACTATCACAAACCCAACACAGACTAAACCTAGAACTATCACAAACCCAACACAGACTAAACCTAGAACTATCATGCACCCTGCACAGACTAAACCTAGACCTATCACAAACCCAGCACAAACCTTACATAGAACCATCGCAAACACAGCATAAGCTAACACAGACTAATCATTGAACCGTAACAAACCAAGTTAACACAAAACCATCACAGACTAAACATTAAAACATCACAAACCCAGAACAGACCAAACATTGAACTGTCACAAACCTGACACAGACTAAACACAGAACCATCACAGACCCAGCAAAGACCCTACATGAACAAAGCACAGAACTACAATGGTCAGACACAAATTCACAACAGACAACAAAAAATCCAAAGTAGACACCTTACCCAAACCAAAATGTGGGTCCAAAAGGCAATTAAAATAATTAAGGTTTAATATGGTATTACAAAATCAAAATTAAAGCACAAAATCTTAAATGTATATCTTCAAATGTAAAAGTGCAATTGTTATGTTTATTTATAGGAACTATTGACATGTTGTGAGGAGGGTAAAGGAGAAATTAAAGATGGCCTGGAGGTTATGCTTAGTGTGCCCAAAAAAGCTAATGATGCTATGCACCTCAGCCTGCTGGAGGGTGAGTAACAAACATACACACACAGACACAGCTTCCTAAACCAAACCCAATCCTTCTTCTTTAATCTTTTATCTTTGTTCAACCTCTCTTTCCTTTTTGCTCTCTCTCACTCTCAGGTTTTGATGAGAACATTGAGTCTCAGGGTGAGTTGATTCTGCAGGAGTCATTCCAGGTTTGGGATCCAAAGACTCTGATTCGTAAGGGCAGAGAGCGGCACCTCTTCCTTTTTGAGATGTCTCTCATATTTAGCAAGGACGTCAAAGACTCCAACGGAAGGAGCAAGTACCTCTACAAGAGCAAGCTCATGGTACTGTTTTACTTTAAATTTGTTTAGTTGTTTAAATAAAGAAATGCTTGCTTATCAGGTTACGGATGGCCATAATTTATAATAGACTGAATTATTTCATGTTTGATCTATGCTTTTTTACTCTGCCTAGACCTCAGAACTAGGAGTTACTGAACATGTGGAAGGAGATCCATGTAAATTTGCACTCTGGGTTGGACGGACACCTACCTCAGACAACAAAATAGTGCTGAAGGTATGATTCACGTTCCAAATTGATACTTCATCCAATGTTGTTTTTTTTTCAGTACAGCTGTCACTTAAATGTTTTCTTTGCTTCCAAGTAAATTTTTTTTATCCAAACATTGCTAACTGGCACAGCACACAAGCATGTTTCATTACTGAAAAGTTGCCCCTGATCTCAAATTAAATGGATTTTTACATTAGACTTTGTTATAAAATAAAAAATATACTTTATATCTCATTCATCTGAGGATCCTTGAAATAGATCACATGAGTGGATATGTTTTCAGGTTTTGAATTTTCAAGTGCTGTAGCTCTGGCTTGAGTCATTCCATTGTATAAAATCATTTTGTGAGACTTGTAAGCATTTAAAAAAAAAACTTATGTAACTTGTGTTTTTGAATGGTTGCCCTTCATCTCTGAAGACGTAATTGAATCATGTAATGACTCATATGCCATTCTATATGTTCTCACATGTAAATAGACAGACACATGGATGCAAAATGAACTATCACAAACCCAACACAGACTAAACGAAGAACTATCACAAACCCAACACAGACTAAACCTAGAGCTATCACAAACCCAACACAGACTAAACACAGACCCAGCTCAGACTAAACCTAAAACTATCACAAACCCAACACAGATTAAACATAGACCCAGCACAGACTAAACCTAGAGCTATCACAAACCCAACACAGATTAAACACAGACCCAGCTCAGACTAAACCTAAAACTATCACAAACCCAACACAGATTAAACACAGACCCAGCACAGGCTAAACCAAGAACTATCACAAACCCAACACAGATTAAACACAGACCCAGCACAGGCTAAACCAAGAACTATCACAAACCCAACACAGACTAAACACAGACCCAGCACAGAGTAAACCTAGAACAATCACAAACCCAACACAGACTAAACACAAAAAAAATGGATGCACTCCAGGGCTCACAAAGTTTCAAAATCCCTGGTAGCCCTTCGGGCAGGTACTCTTCAGATTTTGGGAGCCCAAAAATTAATTTAACTAGCCCAAATAAAAAAAAAATTTGAATATAGAAAATCAGATTAAACACAGACCCAGCACAGGCTAAACCAAGAACTATCACAAACCCAACACAGATTAAACACAGACCCAGCACAGGCTAAACCAAGAACTATCACAAACCCAACACAGATTAAACACAGACCCAGCACAGAGTAAACCTAGAACAATCACAAACCCAACACAGACTAAACACAAAAAAAATGGATGCACTCCAGGGCTCACAAAGTTTCAAAATCCCTGGTAGCCCTTCGGGCAGGTACTCTTCAGATTTTGGGAGCCCAAAAATTAATTTAACTAGCCCAAATAAAAAAAAAATTTTAATATAGAAAATCAGATAGGAGTTTAAATGTCAATCAAAAAATATTGTCAATACACAAATATCAACAAATATAAAGGAAGGAATTTTATTTCACTATTTACAGGGTATCTGCAGAATTTTTTTTATAAATGTAAGGAAATTTATGACCCATTTTAAGAGCTGCACAAGTAAAATGAACACAGTATGAGTGGGGTTGGACAATGTCTATGGTAACATACAGCATTGAGCCATACAATTACATGATTTAAAGGTTCAGATACAGGTTTTCACAAAAACAAAAATCTTATACAACAGCATTTCAGCCTTTAGACCATTTTTATGAAAAGGGATAAATGAAGCATGTAAATTATGGTCAATTTAAAACGTATAAATATTACTGTCTTAATTGTTTAGATTTTTAGAAGGCACATTAACTTCTTTCTCATTTACAACTCTGTGTTTGCTGTGTAAAACATGAGTTGATATTTGCATTGATCTGACCATAAACAGCAAGAAAGGCTTATTGAAAATGCAAATTCATTCTCTGCCACGAGGTGGCACTTTAGGAGCACTGAAATATTGCGGTTTCCCCAGTAATGACTGTACACAAGCAGCTCCGCGCTCATAAACGCTGCTTTATCAGGAACTATAGGTCAAATGAAATTAAAATGTCAACGACACGTTTCTGAGGACAGCCCTGTTGAAAAAACCAGCATATGCTGGTCATGTGCAGCATAAACCAGCACATGACCAGCATAAACCAGCAAAGGACCAGCTTAAACCAGCAAAGGACCAGCTTAAACCAGCAAAGGACCAGCTTAAACCAGCAAAGGACCAGCTTAAACCAGCAAAGGACCAGCTTAAACCAGCAAAGGACCAGCTTAAACCAGCAAAGGACCGGTTTAACCCAGCATCCCAGCGTCAAAACATACCTAACCAGCATATGCTGGTTTATGCTGGTCATGTGCTGGTTTATGCTGCACATGACCAGCATATGCTGGTTTATGCTGGTCCTTTCTTATGGCCTTAAGTTTGATACAACTCACTTTAGGAGTTTTAAGGACCCGCAGGAGATCTGCATTTAAGATAGCCCGTGGGGCAGAGTGGTGATACATTTTGGTAGCCTGACTGGAAAACACAATAGCCCCGGGACGTCGGGCTAGCGATTTTGCGAGCCCTGCACTCATGTTCACAATTTTAGCCTGCTTACAGTTATTAAACATTGTTTCCACCTATTTTATTTCTGTAATCTGAAGAATTCCCAAGTGAAAAGTAGGATGGAAATTGATTTCATCCTTTGAGAATTGATTGAATCATTGATAGAGTTTCATTGACATGTGGTTGGAGGCTGGGACCTTAAAGAAAGTACGTTAAGAAGCAGAGCAATTTATTATATTTTGATAAAAGATTAGAAAAGCTTTTTTTGGGTGTGCATAATAAGACCAGGAACACATTAAGTAGGTAAACAGTTTTTGACTTCATTTGAACTCTGATTACATGTTGTCATTATTTTTGCAACAGATCTGTAGGCTTTGACAAGTTCAATTGATATTTATGTCTGTTGTGTAAATTGAGGTTGATTAATGTGTTGTTGTGTTCAATGCATCCCCAGGCTTCATGTATTGAAAACAAACAGGATTGGATTAAACATGTTCGTGAAGTTATCCAGGAGCGTACCATCCATTTACGGGGGGCACTCAAAGAGCCAATCCACATTCCCAAAGCCACTGCAGCCAAACACAAGGGCAAACGGTACGTTAACAACTCACATCAGTCCAAATCAATAAGCAAGTATGAATCTCTGGATCTCAGAATATGTTAACAAAGAAGAAACAAGTTTTATGCATATCAGAATCTTGTCTCTGAAATCGACTGTCTAACCAGGGTGGCTTTTCCTTGGTCAGTTTGCACTTTTGAATGATATATATTTTGTTGAATAACAGGGATGGAGAGGACCTAGACAGTCAGGGTGATGCAAGCAGTCAGCCAGACACCATCTCCATCGCCTCCCGCACCTCCATAGTTATCTTTATTGAATTAGGTTTAAATCGCCGTCATGCATGAATGAATGATATTTTTGCAATTTTACACATAATAATCCACGATGATCACATTACACAAAACTGAAATTGCACGTCAAAATAACGCATTGTCAATATTTTTTGAGACCCCCCAAAATTTCACAAATCACGTTTTCAGGGGAGCCCACGTCTTATTAAGGGGAGCCGAGCTCCCCCTAGCTCCCCCGTAGATCGCACCCTGCTTGTAATACTGAAATCAAGTTCTTAAAGGCATAGTTCACCTAAAAATGAAAATTCTGCCATAATGTCATTCTAAACTCTTAAGACTTCCCATTCATCTTCGTAACACGAATGAATATTTTTTTTTATATTTTTCATCACTTTTGTCCAGCCATTCTCACGTGTCAAGTAATATCTGTGTTCACCATATTTGATGAGCTCTATGTATGTGCAAGGAAGTTTAAACTGCTCGATTCACATTACAATGTCTTTTGAAGCATTAACATTTTGTTCGTGTGCACTTTCAATGGATGGACAGAAATTATAAGAGAATATTAAAAGCTATGTTAATTTGTGTTCTGAAGATGAAAGGAAATCTTGGGTCTGGAACCACACGGGGATAAGTAAATGACAGAATTTCTATTCACTTTGGGGGGTAAACTATTTCTTTTATTATTCTTTTATTTAGTGCTCATGGAGCACTATGGACATTTGCAATGCCTATAACGTTTATTTAATCTTCACCAAAACTGGTTCTGATTCAGTAAATGGATTTCTGATGTTCAAAACTATGTGCTAGTGACTAACTTGAAGTACTATATATCTGCAACCTTTTTTCATACTGGCACAAAATTTTGCAGTTATATTTACCACAATATCCTGCCAAAACCTTACCTTAATTTTATAACTGTGTCACCTTGTGGTGAAAAGTAACAAGTACTTCTAGAAATACTTATAAACTTTAAACTGCATATCCTACAATCAATCACTGGTGAGGATTCTATGACTAAACAACTTTACATGCCATGTTTGTGCCATCTGTGTGGTTGGCCCCGTTATTTCAGCTTGAAGCTATATTCCATAATAGGCATTTCATATCAGATGGATGAGCATTCATTTGAAGTACTTCATGGTTACCAAAGATTTAAAGAACAGAATCTTGTTCCCGCCCCTAAATTTACGCTCTTCTTTAGAGATAATACTGAGCTGCTGGAAAATCAATTAAATGTACCTGAGCAAAAAAACATTTGTTTCATTCATCTCATACCTCAGACAAAAGGCTGCACCACACTGGCTTGTATCCAAGAAACAGGCTACAGATACAATAAAACACCTACAATTAATTATGAATCAAATCTTAAAGAACAGTTGATTCCAGGCATTCGTTTTTAGAGACAAGTGTCGCATATTGGTGAATCTCCAAGTAGGGCCACTTTCACTACTTCTTGACAAATGATTTTGGTATAATGTTTGATGGTGGGGATTTTCTATTTGAATGAATGAATAAATAAATGCTAGCTTGTTTCTAAATAAAAAATTGAAAGAAAAAAAAATAGAACCTGTGCCATAACACATTAACAGTAATAAAGCTACTCATTATCATTAGCTTAAAATTAATTGCATTTCTGTCACTATGCAGTTGTGAAAAAAATGACTCATAAGTGGCAAGTGGTAATCACAGCATTAAGTTGTTTGTCAAGTGACATTTATTCATATTACACTTATATTACAATGCAGGGAGTGGTATCAGTGGTAATGTTTTAAAACAAAAAAATGATGAAACAACTTCAATTTCAGCTGTAAAGCAGCTCTACAGAAGACAATAGCGTCAGACAATAGTATTCAGCTCAATTTAGTTCAAGGTTATTTAGTTCAATAATGTCAATGCTGTTCATCAATTATTAAGTTCAGCTATAAGCAGCAAGGCAATTAGTGTCATATAAATACTCAAATTAATGAAACATTTAAAAAAAAATAGCTTCTTAAGTGCAAAGCAAGCATTTTTATGAAATTATTATATGTGATCCTGGAGCACAAAACCAGTCATAAGTAGCACGGGTATATTTGTAGCAATAGCCAACAATGGGTCAGAATTATGGATTTTTCTTTTATGCCAAAAATCATTTGAATATTAAGTAAAGATCATAATAGAACCTGTGCCATAACACATTAACAGTAATAAAGCTACTCATTATCATTAGCTTAAAATTAATTGCATTTCTGTCACTATGCAGTTGTGAAAAAAATGACTCATAAGTGGCAAGTGGTAATCACAGCATTAAGTTGTTTGTCAAGTGACATTTATTCATATTACACTTATATTACAATGCAGGGAGTGGTATCAGTGGTAATGTTTTAAAACAAAAAAATGATGAAACAACTTCAATTTCAGCTGTAAAGCAGCTCTACAGAAGACAATAGCGTCAGACAATAGTATTCAGCTCAATTTAGTTCAAGGTTATTTAGTTCAATAATGTCAATGCTGTTCATCAATTATTAAGTTCAGCTATAAGCAGCAAGGCAATTAGTGTCATATAAATACTCAAATTAATGAAACATTTAAAAAAAAAATAGCTTCTTAAGTGCAAAGCAAGCATTTTTATGAAATTATTATATGTGATCCTGGAGCACAAAACCAGTCATAAGTAGCACGGGTATATTTGTAGCAATAGCCAACAATGGGTCAGAATTATGGATTTTTCTTTTATGCCAAAAATCATTTGAATATTAAGTAAAGATCATGTTCCATGAAGATATTTAGTAAATGTCCTACCGTGAATATATCAAGACTTACTTTTTGATTAATAATATGCATTGCTAAGAATTGCTTTTTTGCACCTTCAGATTCCAGATATTCAAATAGTTGTATCTCGGCCAAATATTGTCCTATCCTAACAAACCTTACATCAATGGAAAGCTTATTTATTCAGATTATTCAAAAAAAAATGGACCCTTATAGCTGGTTTTGTGGTCCAGGGTCACATATGGATGAATGTTAAAAATGAGTCAATAACGTAGTAAAATTCTTTATAGTCTCTCATTTAGAATGTTTTAGGATGTTTAGGAGAAGTTTTTATGCATACAAACATTTTAGGGAACAGAAAATTTCTCCTAATTGAATATGAAATCAGCCATGCAAGAAGTTCCAACATTCAATTAACTTGATTACCAACAGACGTAATGAATGCTCCTCACTGGGGAACGTTTGTTGCTTCGGTTGCTTTGGATTTAACAGCACAGACGCTTGTCTTCCCACTCACAGTCAGCGCTCTCCTCTCACACGCCTTCACACATGTGCGTTTTTGTCACTGATATGTATTGCAAGCCTCCTACAGCAACACACTTTACTTGCTGATACTGTCCGATCTAAACACACTTGGACATCTTAGTCCTTCTCTGTCTTCTCTTCCATGTCGGTCCCTTCCCCGTCTCTTTGTGACATACACAAATACGTCAAGAGTCACTGAATTCACTCATGTACCCTGACGACCCCGCACAAAAGCTCACTGTTTTAGACACACAGAGCCCTCTCAGTTCACGGTGAGGCGAAAAGGTGAAGCTCTCAGAAGCGGACGAGTTCCTGCACGTCACTTCTAATGAGCATTAATTTGCCTCCTGCTCCTTTAAATCTTGGCACATTGTGTCCGACTCTGCCTCCTCTCCCTTCCTTCTGCCCGGCGTCACTCCTTCAGACTGATTCCATCTCCGTGGCAATTGCGGGGATGTGTCAGCAGCCTTCAACCGCCTGCCACTTTACCTCACAGGAGTTCTGAATGCTTGAGCGTAAACTGTAGATGAGATTAGTTTTGATAAGACACGGTTATTCAGCGCTCTGTCTTCCAGATCGAAGGATATGGCATTGTCGGAAATGTTTTTTTTTTACCATTAGACCATTCTTCTGTGTGATGTTTCCTGCATAAGGACGTACTAGGGGGTGTTGTCTTGGTAGAAACATGGCGTGTAAAGGTTCGGGGTCAGTTGCTCACCTTTTGAGCTCATTGGCAATGCCACATTACCAGTGGGTACGTTCGTTATGCCTCTTTTTTGTCACGTTTGTTGTCTTTATCACATATATTTGAATTTGTAATGTGACTCTATGCCTTCCTCCACAGTTGTCCGGTGGTTCAGAGTTGACAGTGGTCATCCACGACTTCATGGCCAGTAATGGATCGGAGTTGACTGTACGCAGAGGTCAGACGGTGGAGCTTGTAGAAAGGCCCCAGGACAAGCCCGACTGGTGTCTGGTTCGCACCACTGACCGTTCACCTGCCCAGGAGGGCCTGGTTCCCAGCTCTATGCTTTGCATCGCTCATTCCCGAAGTAGCATGGAGATGGAGGGCATTTTCAACCATAAAGGTAAGATGGACAGCTTTCCTGGGTTAGATTCGATTGGACTGAATTTACTTAAAGGGGTCATATGATGCTTTTTAAAAGATCATTATTTTGTGTATTTGGTGTATCAGAATATGTTGACATGCTTTAATGTTCAAAAAACACATTATTTTTCAAATACTGTACATTATTGTAGGTCCTATATGCCCCGCCTCTCTCAAATG